TCCCCTGCACGGGCAGGAAGGGTGCAGGCATTCCATATTCCAGGCTGGGTTGTCAGGTCTGTGTTCCATTTTCTAAGTCCTGCACTATTATATGCAGTGATGGATATGCGCTCCCCAGAGAGGTCCGCCTGGCGCCGTCGTTATTTGCTTTTCGGCGCCAGGCGAAGACCTTTTTATTTAAGCGGCATTTTAACTGTTAGTATTACTTGATCTTATCTGGCCAGGGCGGCTTATTTTATATTGTATTTTTTGGATTTTTAATGTTTATATTTATTGTAATTTATATTATAATTACTTTTATTTATTGTTGTAAGCTGCCCCGAGGCTTCGGCGAATGGGGCGGCATAAAAATGTTTTAATTAATAAATAAATAAATAAATAAATAAAATGCTTTGTTTCTGCACTTGCTTCTCTGGGAATGGGAAGGTTTTTGTTCCGTCTCACATATATGCAACTTACTGGATGGGTGCTCCTTCACCTCCCATTGTGCTCTCTGTGGTCAATGGTAGCCACCTCCTGAGGGTGGTTTTGCTTAACTGCTTTAAGGGAGATCTCATCAGGTTTTCCTCTGCAACAGGGGGCATGGTGGCGCAGGGGTTAAACCTCCGTGCTGCTGGGCTGTTGATCAGTCAGCGGTTCAGATCCATGCAATGGGGCGAGCGCCCTCTGCTTTGTCCCAGCTCGTGCCTACCTAGCAATTGGAAAGCATGCAAATACGAGTAGATAAATAGGTACCACTTTGGTGGGAAAAGTAACAGCATTCCGTGCACTTCACTGTTTAGTCATGCCAGCCACATGCCCACGGAAGCATCTTTGTACAACACTGGCTCTTCGGCTTACAAACGGAGGTGAGCACTGGCCCCAGAGTCAGATACAACTAGCACACATGTGTGGGGGAACATTTACCTTTATTGTTTTTACCTCTGCAAGAATTCCATCATTCACCATTCATTCATTCATCCATCCATTCATTCATTCCTCATCTTATTGACACTGGCTATTAGGTCCCTCTCCCTGAGCTCCACTTCACCCAGCATGCCCCATAGCCTGTGAGGTTCTTCTTCCAGTGCTTGGCATACAACAATTGTAACGCAGCTCACATACATATGCTATTGTTTAGCCAAGGTATGCAAAAATCTTTCAGTTTCTTCATTGATGACCATAAGGAAGCTGATTCTTCTGTAGCTATGATTTTTGTTTTCTTCATGTTCTGCTGCAGGCCTGCTTCGGCCCTTCCTTCCTTCCCTTTCATCTCAAATCATTTCAGCCCATTGCCGCTTTCTGCCAGTCATGGGGTATCATCCACATGCCTTAAATTCTGTCAATTTTTTTGCGTGATCCTAATCCAGTTTTCCCATGACATTTTGGTTCAACTTAATCTACGCCAATCGAACTCAAACACAGGGGAGCAAGGACGGACCTGTTGTGCATCAGAAATCTGGCCATTGCAAGATGTTTTAGTCTGGCATTGTGGAGGAGTCTCCCCCCTTCCCCAGGTTCCTGCCTTTCGGTAGGCAGATGGCCCATTGTTTATAAAGTTCTCTATCTGCCTGATACGGAAATCCATGCTGTTCAACACTGCTATTGTCACTGGTGGATGTGGGAGGAGAACCCCGTGAAAGGTGTCATTTTTCAGCTGTCTCGGTTGCTGAAGAAACTCACAAATGATGGCAGTGAGCTGCAGGAGGGTAACGTGGCATGAGGATGAACAGCAATCTGTTTGTTTTCAGCTCTGGCAGCACCCAGCAATTCCAGTCGCGTGCATTTCATTTAACTTTATTGTGAGGAATAAAAGAAAAGAACTGGGTACAGCATTAGATACTGGGATTCTTCATGCTTTAAAGCAGCTTAGGCATTTCACTTATCTAAGAGCACAGTGGGGAAAAGAGGGGAAATTAAAACAAATTGAGACAATGGATTTTTGAATGACTCCTTGTAAATAGTTTGAGCTCTGTTTCCCTGGCTATCTTTTAGTCCTCATCTTTCATGGGAAATCGGAGTAGAAAAATAGCATCTAGAGGCACAATGAAGCAGCTGTTGAAGATTTTATTCGGGATGCAGGGAGAGAGACACATTCAGTTAAGTTTTAAACTCCTTAAATCTCAGATCAACAGCCATGTTGGGGAAGAGAATGCTGAGAGAAAGATCTTTGCTCAGGGCAGAGCACATAATCTGCCCAAGTTCTCCAGCAGGGATTCTCAGACACGTGATGTTTCCGCTCGTGGGGGTTTCCTGAATTTCTCCACAAAGCTAGGTTCACTTAGTTCAGATTCTCAAATCTGCATGGCTTTTTTGATCAGGGAAATTGGGAATTTCCTGAATGCACAATGTTCCTCCAACAGGCTAAAGCATGAAAGTGCAGCTTAGGAGAGGAGGCCGCTGGCTTTGTGCTGGGCTTGTAGACCGTGTGACACATTGCCTGCCTAGTGTGCAGGTTGTGAGCATCACGCACCATCTTGACAGCTTTCCTGATAGCGACTGGGTGGTCAGTGGGTGAAGCCCATGGGAGCCTATATGGAAGGGGAGTTTTAGAGCAGAGGTCTGAAGAGTCATGAGTGGGGACAGCCAGATCCACTGGGCAGTGCCACATGGTTGGGAATGGCACACCCAGGGATTCCCCTGTGCTGCCCTGCTCGGACGAGCAGCAGGGCAAGTCGTGGCCAAGCGGCAGGGGCAGCACCTGGTTCAGGGCTGTACATGGTCGCCTGGCAGCCCCTCCCTTACGCAGCAGGGTGAGAAGCAGCTGGGCAATGAGAGGGGAGGGGAGGGGAGGGGAGGGGAGGGGCTGGGGCTGGCTCCTCTTTCTCACTCTGGCTTGCCAGGGAGACACCCCCAACACAGCGCCCGCCTTCCTCATGCAGCGGGCAGTGGCGAGGGCCAGGGAGGCGGCGCTGCTCCTCCTTTCCTCACCCCAGCTCAGCAAAGAGGTCTTCACAAACTGGTGCCCACAGGGCTGCACCAGGCTGGGGGGCTTCTCCAGCACAGCAGGGGGAAAGGAGGGGGTGGTGGGGTGCCCGGTCTCCATCTGGGCACTGGCTTCGTGCCCCACTGCAGCATGTGCTCCACACCCAGTCCACCCCTGCCCCCCAGCTGTTGCCCGCCCCTCCAGTGGCCCATCCACACAGGAGGGAGGTCTGCGACGCTGCAGTGGGGGAATCAAGCAGTGGCAACGCGGCTTCCCACGGCACTGCCCAGTGGATGGGCCCCCCTGCCTGTCTCGCGAGGTTTGGCCGGAGTCAGGGGCAGCACGGGAACCTGCGCTGTGGCAGAGGCCCCCACCAGCAGTAGCTGCGTGCTCCACCCCCATTTTGCCCCGCAGAGCCTGCTTGAAAGCTGCAGCAAGCTGCACTTGTGGCTGGCAAAACGAGAGTCCTGCTCTCCCCACCGTTCCCTCCAGGTGATCTCCTGGAGGACCAAGCGGGAAGCCCATGTAGACAGGAGGAAAGTTCTACCCTGAGCTTGATTGTCTTTCATGCACGTCCACAAAAAACCATTCATAGTGGAATCCATGCAGGATTTCTTGCCATGATGTGTGGGCGGGACAATGCCATCCTATTTTACTTCAAAACAGGAAATTGCTAAAATGAGGGAAATGGTAACAGGAAGTTGAAAGGGGTGATGAATAGAGTTACAGCCTTGGAGGTCACTCATAATTACAATATTAGAAGCCAGCAAGAACAAAACAAAATTTCTTTTGCCTGGCACCATCACTTTATTCTTTTCGGCACCAGGCTAAAGCCTTTTCATTTTCCCAATGTTTTAAGATGTGATTGTTTTAATAGAGATTTTATTGCTGTTTGAAATGTTATTAGGATGCTGTGTTTTATTTTATATTGTCTTATTGTTAAACCATCCTAACACCACAGTAAGGGATGATCTAGAACAGTTTTAAATGAATAAAAATAGATAAATAAATTTCTTACTCCCGCTAAGACCCGTGTAGGCCTTCCAGGTGAAAGATCCCCCGAGCTGAGACCTTGTCTTTCTTCACCATTTTTGCCTTTTTCTTAATACAACCAACTTAGGGCAAACGTGCAGAACCAGTGATCCTTTAGAGGCAGTTGGACTACAACCCTCTTGATCCCTTCCCATCCCCTGGCTGGGGCTGATGGTTTGAGTCCAACGACATTTGCAGGGGACAATGTCTTCCACATCTGTGTTGGGGTTTATCAATTGTATTAATGCTCACCTTTTCTTCCTTGTTGGAGCTGAAGAGCTGAGCATGCTCTTTTGGTCCAAGCTTCAACCACACCCGGACCACAGGACCCCAACATTGTGCGTTCCAGCTAATTGCTGCTACTCATGATGGCTATGTATTGTCTCCCGGGGCAGCAGCAGGACACACCTGAGTACCAGCTGGCAAGGAAATGAGTGGCATGATGCTCGCACTCTTGCAGATGGCCTTCCCAGGGGCATCAGATTGGCCACTGTGTACCTGCAATGCCAGGCTAGGTAGGGCTTTGGCCTGCTCCAGCATGACCATTTGTCTGTTCTCAGCCATGCTGTTGACTAGCATCTTTGACTCTATCCTCTGAAAGTGAGCTGAAGTCATGGAAACCAACCTAGCAGTGAATCAGGAAGACTCTTCTCTGTCTTATTCTAATGGGCAACCTTATGTAAGACTCCTCCTCCTCCTCCTCCTCCTCCTCCTCCTCCTCCTCCTCCTCTCTTTCTCAGCCTGGCCCCTTCACTTGGAGAAATGGTACCCTAATATTCATCCATCTTATAGTCATGTTCTGAGAACTACAAGTAAATAATGCATGTAGAACACTACACAAACGTTAAGTGTTATTGTGATGCATGAAAATGGGACACAGTCTCTTTAAAAGGTTGTAGGAAATTGGATTTCACTCTATCAGTGCAATCCTGTGCAGGATTGCTCAGAAGGAAATTACAAAGTTCAACAAGGCTTACCCCCAGACACGTCTGCCTAGGACTACAGCCTGAGAAAATCATGTGAAGCAGATTGGTGTGAGTCTGTAAACATATTTGGGTTGGGATGGAATGAATGAAAGTAGCCGTTTATTCTTGTCTTACATACATGGCACAACATACAGAGCCGGCACAAAAGACATACAAATCCTCCGACACATGCTTCCTCCCAAATTACTTCTATTGAATGTACAACATCATTAACAAATTGGTTATTGAGTTACAACAGATCTTCAAACATGAATAAACTCCCGTTCAGGGTAATCATTTTCTTGTTGCTGTTATCTACTTAGACAAACATTATGTTACATGTTTAATACAGGACATTATCCTTAACAGATTTTAAGATATTCACATTAAGAACCAAATACTTTATAAAACAGCAATCGATATTTTTCTCCATCTCTGAAAGGCATGAACACATGTATTTCAATCGCATCTGGTTCCTGGATGGGTTAAGAACTGGACTTGGCAAGACAAACATTTCTTAAGATCTAAAAAAGGACCCTTATTTACAATGTGCCCAGTGGAAAAGAATTGTTCTCCTGACCCCTATAGCTGTCATTTGACCAGTAGGAAAATTATCCTGCAGGCTACCAAGAGCAGTCTTTTAGATAGTGCCCACTGGGTGGCAAAATGACAGATTGTCACAACACTCGGTTTTATTGAAATCAAAGAAAGCAAGGCATATATTTGAAGGGAGAGCTTTGGACCCACTAGGGGATAGTCACGAACGCCTATCATCAGACAATATAACTAGAACTGTTGTGCTAGCTAGGGGTTATACCAGAGATTTCAAACACTCTCCCTCCAGGGAGCCCTTTCTACATAAACTCCTGAATGTCACAGAGGATTCTGGGGGGAATCGTGCGCTCAGAAACATCATGTTCTGAATCATGGCCTCAATTAACAAAGGATTTCTGGCCAGATGTGTCAGGTCCCTGGCCATCGCTATACGAGGACTTTCAATCCCCCACTCTCATCCCAAGACATCGTACTGATGATATACCTTATTCAGGGAAGCTTGCCCACATTCTTATTCCTTTCTTATTATGGTGGAAACTTGCAAGGAACCTAGGATCCAGTTTGAAAACCACTGGGTTAGACAAATATTGCTCCTTCTGCTCAAATAGGACCTTCAATCAGTCCTGGTGAAAATTTAAGCTCATACAGATTTTTTCAAGCCTGTGGCCTTGAAGGTCACATTCTGATCTTTTGATTAAATTTAGGATAAGAGCATAAGAACAGCCATGCTGGATCAGACCTGAGGTCCATCCAGTCCAGCACTCCATACACACGTTGGCAAATCAGCTGCCCACAGGACCTCTCCAGCAGGACGGGCGCATGACCCCTCCTGCCCAGGCTCCTCGGCAATTGGGTAGGCAGACACACTGCCTCTGTTAAAGGAGGGAGCACATGGCCAGCATGGCTGGTAGCCATGGATAGCTTCCTCCCTCATGAATCTGTCCAGTCTCTTTTTAAAGCCACCCAGATGGCCACCATCCAGATTGGTGGCCATCACCACTTCCCATGGCAGCACATTCCACAGTTGAACTTTCCTCTCTCTAGAGAAGAACTTCTTCTATCTGACCTGAGCCTCCCACCAATCAGCTTCATAAGGATGAGATTTCTTTCTGAAACTCTTAGTCATTTCACTCACCATCTGGATGTGACGTCATCATTTTCGCTATTCCACTCAACAGACAACTGGGGATCAATATACATTTTTCTTCTAAAGACCATTCTAAAGCCCACTGGAGTGTCCCTGTTGACTTCATTGGCCTTTGTGGTAACTTCAGGACTGATACATATTAATTTTAATGGGTCTACCCTGGAGTAAGCAGTCTGAGGATTTCAAGCCTGGACAGATGCTGGCCTACAAATTGTCTAAACAAAACAAAATAGATTTGAATCCTTTATATACACAAGTTGCATTATTATTATTTTTACATAGAGTATTTTAATAAAAAGCATGTTGTGAAAATGCCTTAGAGTTTATATAAACACTGTTATATCAAACACATCATTCAAAAACCTGGATAAATTACCAACACAAAACCCTGAAAGACTCCAAATGGAATTCCTTCAGTTATACTTGTTGCATATTTCACATTCCAGTCTTTGCTCATCCTGTTCTGGCCAAATTCTGGCTCTGGTGACAATACTACACAAGCCTCCAGCAGTGTGTGCTAGAACCCAAATTCTGTTGGTAACAGGTCTAATCTTTTCTCATTACTTATGCTTTGGATACACTGACTCTGTCCCACCATTCTGTTATGCCAAAGTACTTGGATTTCAGCCATTCTAGTCCCAATGCCGTCAATGGGAATGGTAGTCTTTCCCCAGCATTTGCACCAGGATATCGACTAGCAATGATGAAGTAACAAGCCAGGGACAGAGATCGCATGTAAAGGTTAGTGTAGCCCCAGAACACAAGTCTCAGTTTGCCATGACATAGGTAACCACGTATCGGTGAATCAAGACATGAGGTTGGGACCAAGATTGGCTCAAAACTCTGATACTTCAGTGTTAATCGGCAGTGTGGGTCAAGATGCTCACGTCTCCAACAGGTCTCTGGCACTGCTCCAGAAATACATTGCTTTAGCAGGTTACAGAGATACAAGAAAGTCACCCTAAAGCAGCTTGTCCTTTACATACCCTATCACAGTCTTCGCAACCTCTTTCCAAACATATTCACAGCAATAGGATGATTCCGCGACCCTTCCACAACATGAAACTCAGGTCCTAAACTTTCCACATGAACTTGGCCTCCACTGGAGTCTATTGAGAATGATTTCCATGGAGACAAATGTCTGGATAACGTAACCCTGGACTTGGCTATCCATACACCACTGGCAAGAAGGGTTGCATAATCAGGATACAAGACTCTGGCTGACTCCTGCTTGCCGGAGCAACCAAGGGAAATTCATAAAGACAGCTCAGTGTGTCATTGTGTTCTTCACGTACATTTCTCCATGGGGCATCCTAATAGCACTCATGCAGAGGCAAACGGGATTCTGGAGGGTATCCCAGGTTGTGCTGGAATGAAGCATTATCCCAGTATTTCAAATATCCCCCCAAAGCAGGTAGGATAAGAAACACTTCTGCTGCAATTGTGCTAATTGGACAGCTGAACATTTATTCTAGTGTAAACATATGAGTAAGTTTCCCAGATCTCCAGCAAGGGAATTGTTGTGCATTTGCTTGCTTTGTGCAGGTCTGCACAATTTGAAACCCACCACACTCAGTGCAACCCATCATCCACGTAAAACGAAGGTCTTGGCCAACCTTCTACATGTATACTCTGCCTAGGAATGCAAAACCAGTGGGAGACAGAACTTCGTACATACCTGCGCTTGGTTTGGTGGGTCACATGGTGTGTAGGCCTACCCTTAAGTTACACTTTGTTTCCCATATCTGGCAAAAACAAAAATTCTGATTATATGATACATGCATGTTACACACCGCAGTATTATGCTCCTCGTGTTTTCTGCCCGCCATCCCTTCAATTTTCAACACAATCATTCAATGGCACACGCAATGGGGGCTGGGTTGCTACAGTAATGCAGCTCATTCACATGTGAGTCAGCAGGAGGTATAAAGTTAGTTGGGAGCTTGATTCTGCAAAAACCCACGGATCAATTTGCCCCAGGTTCAAGGGGAGGCTTTTGCAGCATCAGTGCTTAGTACATACGTATATCCCATTTTTATTTTTTTTTATTTATTTTACTTTTTAAAAAATGTGGTTTGCGTAAGAAAGCAAATAGAAACATATAAGAAAGAAGTTTCTGTTCGTCCACAGCTGTTCCAAAATATGAGCAGAAAGGCTGTTTTTCTAGAATCCATTAGAATGGGGTGGGTTGCACAACGAAAATGAGTCACAAGTTTTGTTTCAATTGGAAAAAAGGACCCACAGTGGCTTCTTTTTCCACCTTGTGCGTGCCAGTCACGTATGGCCTCATTTCCATATACACTGTTGCTGCGCTATCCAAAACTGAGGGGTGGGGGTAACCAGCCTGTAACAGTCCCTGGGGCACAAGGTGGCTGGAAGCCATCCCCAACACCCCATGGGCCAAGTCGGGATGTACCCAGTGTGGGAAGGCAGTAATACAGTGCACCGTCGACAGGACAAGACAGATTAGCCACTGTAGCTTCTTTTGCTTCCCCAAGTGACCATTGTGACTCACATAATCCACATTGGCTTGTTGCGATTCATGAAAGATGCCAGTGCATATGAAATGCGATTTCCATATTCTCTACTCAGCCACCTGTCTGAATCCCAATATCCAGAAAGCTAAACAGTTCTGGAATAAGACAATGTAGCTCATGGATTATCAAGATTTCTGAGTTTGGTTTATGGGACCATCTCTGGCTGAGCAGTGATTATGCAAGTTAAACCTGGCATGTGCCTTGATCACCCCAAGTCACCATGGCATAAGGTTTTAATTGTGCAAACCAGTTCACTGTATTTACTTGGTTTCGCCTGGGTTAGAAACGTTTGCCTTTTGCAGTCAATAAGAACAACCATAGGTTTTTAAAGCACAGATCCTCACCATTCAATACAATTTATACTCACCTACGTCATTAACTAGACAGCTATTAAACAAAATGCATTGTTTGGGTGATACTTACATACTTTTGAATGCATCTCTGTCATACTGGATGGAATCATTTTTCATAATTTAAAATATAGCCCATATTAAAGAACAAACTGGACTATGAACACATGATGTAAGTTGTCACGAATGTCTTGAATCTTTGGATTGCTCAAAGTATAAAAACCTAACTTCATGAAAAGTGGCTGGACTTTCAAAAAAGAAAGGCTTGTGATATGTTATGAAGCAACCCACACAACCTATCTGCACAGCTTTATGATTTTAAACTTTACAAAACACAAGTGTTTCTAAACCTATCAACATATATTAATGAGATTATTAGCATCTGTGTGACAACAACAATCTAGGATTCCTGGTACTTCAGTAATGAGGAAAAAGAAACCCTTCTTAATTATGTTTACAGCACTTTGTGTCTCTATAGCTGTACAAATTCCAGTAGATTATGAATCACTGATGAAATTATGTCGAGTTCTTTAGAGTTTGGGGGAAAATAGTGTCAACTGAATGAGAAAATCTAGTTACCTTTTGTTCTGATCATTCCATTCAGTCTCAACAATAACAAAGAAAGGCTTTTTTTTAAATGGCATTGGCCTGTGATTATACAATGCAAAGAAAGAAAATTGATCCTTGCCTATGGAATTTGTGTTTAAGAGTCCCAACTTCTTGTGACTTTGTTAGCCATCACACAACATGTGCCATTTGGCGATTTGTCTCCTAGGATATTCGCAAATTTCCTTCCAGTGTTCTCCAGCTGTTCCTTCTGCGGATGCCCCCAAGGTTAACCGGCCAATTATTTCATTCCGGGATCCCCGATCTGAATCCAAAACCAAGAATTCAATGCTGATCTCTTCAAGGCCCTCACAGGGAATATCGAAGACAAAGAGTTCGTTGAACACTGCATTGGGGGTACACTTCTTGACATGGGTTTTCTTTTTGGAGATCCTTTTCTTGGCATGGTATAGGTTCACTTTGACATAGGGATCTGTAAAGATAAGCAAAATCCAACAAAGGTTTGATACCATATGGGACCAGGGACTGTGAGTCTAAATAACAGGCTTTTCTCCGCCTCCTTTAGATGTAGGTTCTTACCCTGATTTTTACCCAAACAGTCCTGAGTCAAGGAAAACTGAACAAAGGTACCTCTGGTATTTCACAGGAAACATGTTCCATGACAGCAAAACTAGCAGGCTTGCATGGATCTCTGTTCATAATCTCTGCAAGTTTATCTTGCAGTTATTTAAGGATTTAGACTAGGGGTATGCCAGTTCCACTTCAGAAGTTGTTGGTGCTTCATAATTACTCTGTTCCAAAAATAACCAAAATCTTTGGAGTGAATCATAGAATCCAGAGTGGGTTTTATACTTTACTCCATGACAAACCCCACTGCCTCTAAGGGAGGTTATCCTTTCAGTAGAAGACCTAACTCAAAACCTCTGATAACTTTCCCCTAATACTGATTGTATTCTTAAGTAGGGAAACCAACCCTACTCACCTTTACCAAAGCTCCCAATACAAGAAGGATAGAAAAATGTATTCCTCTTCTTTTACTTCCAGTTTGGCCCGGAACTCACTGAAATCAATAGACTCTGGGAATGTTTCTTTCCCAGCCAGAAGCTGAGGTTTCAGCCCAGATTTTGGAGGATGTAGGATTGGTCCCTATCTCTAGTCATAATAAAGGTTAGCAGTTGTAGCAAAAAAAATAATCTCTCTGCTCACTAACCATAACAAGGTAGCCGTGCAGCCATATTGAAGTAGTTACTTTTGCTGACTGCTGGGAAATGATGGCTGTGTTTACAATGAACCATATGTTACTCTGTAAATTCCACTATTGTTCTCTTACATTGACTTCATGTTGCCCCATTGTCTAAACTCATTTTGAATATCGACTATTATGCCTTTGCGTTACTATGTCCAATGACCTTGACCAAAACATAACAAATATAAATTCAATAGAAATGTATAAGCATTCCATTGTGATGAACTGTAAGGGATTCCTTGATATCACTGAGGGAGATAAATCATCACTTCCTGATAGCTCCACCCAATGCTACCCTCTGAAATATTATTATAGGGAAAGTGCCATACAAGATGTCTTCCTTGTGTGGTCTTGGATGATGATGACATGAGAAGAAATTGTCCAAAACCCATGGTCTCCCCATCATGGCACTCAGTGGGCATTTCTGTAAGCATGCCATTGACTTTCACACATCCTAATACCTCCATGCAGGCATGAAAACCTGCCGATCCGGTAAGGAACAGGCCCAAGTGCATCTAGTACATCATAGATAACATATGAGTTAATAAGGTTCTTGGCCCAAATGCTAAGTCCCTTCAAAGGCTGCATGTAATTACGAATGCATCAGCACAAGAACATGTCCATTTGAAATTACCTGATAATCCTGAAGCGTCAGCTTTGGGTAGGTGTCTGGCCTTTAAGACAACCACAGTGAGAGTGTTCGTTGTGGATTGGTAACAAAGAGAAATCAGCAACTCTCCACGCCCAGAAGACTTCTAGAGGATTACAAAGATGTTTTAGCTTCAAGCTCTTACTGCTGGCGAGTAAACTTCAGGAGTCACTCCAGTCTTATTGGGCACCATCCAGCTAGGATGTCTCCTAGCTCAGAGGATCATGGGCATCCTGTGCAGGGGAGAAGAAGCAGAGGAGGCCGTCTCTGACCCCCACCCCACCCCCTGGTCCTTTCATCCTGCAAGTCAGATGAATGGCTGATTACAGCCGTCTAGCTGCAGTGCTCTGGAGGAGGACGAAAGCACAGTGCTCTGGTAGAGCATCTTCAGGATACCTTACATCCTGGCAACCACAGTCCCACTCACTCCCTGCCCCCCAGACACCCCCTTTACCCCTCTCCAGGGTCATTCCTGTGATCTCAGGGAAAGAAGCCATGTTGATTCCCCACACTGGCTGGGAGGAGGGAGAGGGGTTGAGCCTAGACCCGCAAATTCAAGGTCAATGCACTCTCTTACCTGGGATCTTGGAATCTGAATAATCCCATAGGACTGCTCATAATCCCATAGGAAGAATCCCAGAGGACTGCTCTGCCCAAATGGAAATGTCGGAAGCCCACCAATTGTGCAGTGGCCAAGGGAAAGGCCACTCCATGTGGCCTTCTAGGGAGGTCCAGATTGTGACCCCAGAAATTTGCCTGAGGGTATGAGGATCCCCACTTCCCTGCCCTTGACTTTCATGAGGGGCTTTCCAGAGGGGTAGTAAGGATGAGCAAGGTAGGAGGAGCGCTGAAGCCCGGGTACACATGCCGAATTTGTGACAAGGACCTTGTCTTCCTATGGTGACGGTGATCACACAGGGCCTTCAGCATATAGAAGTGAAGGCAGAATCAGGGGTGGGGTGGGAATTACCACTTGGAAAGGGTTGGTTTTCTTTTTACCCCAAGACCATGGAGGGCATTCAGATTTATTGCATGTGCAACCCAATATTATGAGATATATGCGTCTCTGTGCGCTTAAACACTCAAATACGGGATGGAACCTTTGGTCAGCCAGTCTATTGAAATGTTGTCACAAATAATAGCTGCTGGATTAGCATTTCAATGGACTGGAGAAACTAATCAGGCCCAAATTGGATTTTACAAAGCCGATATAGTCATCTTCCAAAGCAAAATATATAAGTAAGGAAACAGAAGCCAAACAATCTTCAGCACTCTGGGTCACAAATAGGGGCTTGTTGCATTAGAAGCCATAAAACACTACAGATGGGAATATTGCTTGGTACACATTGAAGCAATTTGATTTGATGCTTGATCTTTTGAAAGCAATTACTGAAAAGTCAATACGCAGGCAGGTCCACATGAAGGGTTAGGTTAGAAATCCTTAGAAGAAATGGGCTGCCACCGAAGCTGAAGTTACTTCCATGCTGATTTGAAAGCTGATGCTAAACACACAGACTTGGAAGGAAGCCCTGCAGATTTCACTGGCGCTTACAGCCAAGTGAAGTGCTCAGCACTGCTGCCACAAGACTAATGCCTGGACCCTAAAAGCCACTTACTCTGATAGTTTGATTGAGGTTTAATGGACTACTGGGAGCTTCTCCTAAATGGATTGAACATTCAAAGGTTGGTTGTGTAAGTACTATCCGTTAATTGCTCATGGATCACAGCCATAAGGATACAGGATGATACTCACATACCTATTAAGGTCAAGTGAGTCTTGCCACTGACTTTATTAGGAAGCAGATTGTACCTTTACAGCTCACCACTTGGTTAATTATGGACTACTTGGATTTAAGTTTATCTCCACTGATGAAGATGGTATCCTTGCATTGGCCCTCCTCCAGGCAAGTCAGATTACTTTGATTGGACTGCTGGGTAGTGACTCAGGTTAAAATGGGATTTATAACTGAAATGACTAAAACTCTGTGTACACGAGGTTTGGGGAAGAGAGGGGCAGTTCTTCTTGGATTTGGACTTGCTGGAGGAAAAGGGGATGGCAGCAGAGAATTGTGGGGCTCCAGGCTTTGAGATGAAAGAAGTGGAGGGTGTATCTCAAGGCCATCCAAGCAGTACTCTGGCTGGTTCTGAGAAGAACCAAGATGTGCATCTGCTGGGTGCGGGCCTAGGCGGCAACTCTCAGAATCAGACAAAGTTGGTGTAACTCTTGACCCCTTGATGGGGTGCCAGGAGATGAGGACTAGCCAACTTAATTGTTGCACATAACACGTTCTCATAATCATCCTCATCATTCACTTCCCATAGCTAAAAGCATCTTAATAAATACAAAACCCATCAGTTAAAATAACCAAATGCGTAGTGAATATTAAATAAATTGATGGTGAAGTGCGATCATTCGGGGAAAGCTCTGATAAGTGGATGGGTCTTGAACAAGCACCTGAAATATGTCACAAGTGAGGCCTCTTGAATACCAGAGGGGAGGGTGCTACCAGAAAGCCTGGAAGAAAGGCTGCTTCTCAGTTGCTACCAGAGGGCATCCTGAAGGTTGCAGTCCAAAGAGGAAGGCCTCTTCCAAATGCACAAGCCTCTATCAAAGAAGGGGATCAGGGTAAATTGGAGGCATAGGAACTTGCCTCATGGTGAGAAAGGCCTCTGGCTCATGATGGCAATGTGGACTGATGGAGGCATTCTGTGGTTTCATGTAGGGGCTTTTCCTTCCTATGTGGAGATGCTGAGGGTTGAACCCAGAACCTTCTTCATGCAACGTATGTGATCTACCACCAAGCCACGACCCCTTCATGTCAACCAGTATCAATCCCAACGCTTTTCAATTAGTCAAGAGACAATTGTCAAGCAATCAAAGATGCAATGATAAAACTATCATTGTGGGCAGCAACTGTGAGGTCCATTCTGATGTGAACCTCTTAAGATGGAGGTCATTCTATGATGTCCCCTCTTGGATGACCTTCCATCAAAAGTTGACAAGGGCTGCTGTATTTAAGAAAAAAATTGACTTGAATTTGATGGGTTTGAGGCTGATTTTAATATTTTTTCTGTAATTGTTATGCTGCTGTTGCATTATAATGGTTGATTAATGTTTTAATTGGTCCTGTAAGGTAACCTGTGTGCCATTTTTAATAGAAAGGTGGGGGTGCAAACATAACATAACATAACAGGCTGGAACAGGAGGACCTCTTCCTATCTAAAGGTGCACAGAATTGTGCTTTAAATCATGTTTCACCTACATATCCAGAAAAGAGACTTGGTAGAACCTTGAGATAACAGAGTGGATTGTCCCTTTGCAGGACAAAAATGGGACATAATTTCATTTTGGGGTGAAAAGCAGTAGTGTAGATGGGTGTATTGTTTTATTGTTGCAGTGATTGGTTTCTTTTCCCTATGTGAGCCATTCCTTCCCAAATGGCACACGTCTTTTCTACAACCTATTTCAGCTACCTGTCTTCCACATCATCAACCATGGAAAGCTGCTTATGGTTGCTGGTGTATTAAGACTCCAATTGTGATCTCGTTAAGCACAAGTGGGAACTGCAAGATAATGTTGCAGTGCCGAGTATACCAGTTCAAGTTCCAAACCATCCAGAGTCTCTCTTACTCCGCCTACTGGCTTTCAGTGCCTACCCCAATAATTATCCAAGAACTTTTAACCACTGAACTCAGTCCTCTTTCAGATGTTTCTTCTGCCTGATTAAGCCTTTCTCTGTTTCTCTCTCTCTCCTACAAAGCTTGGGCTCCTCACAAGTTTCATTGTTACTTCCCTCAGTGTATTTTTTGTATTTTTGTATTTATTGGTAATTTATTATGTTCTATTGTATTTCAATGTATCTTATTGTGTTGTAAGCCGCCCCGAGGCTTCGGCAAGGGGCGGTATAGAAATGTAATAATAATAATAATAATAATAATAATAATAATAATAATAATAATAATAATAATAGGTACTGATTTGATGACAGAAGGATGACCATTCAGATAATGAAGTTTGCTAGCACAGCATGTGGAAAACCCAGTAGTATCATTCAAGATGTGTAAATGAGTTCAGGGCCACACACTAAGCAACTTTTGAAAACTAGAGAGCTGATGCAGAAGGGAGGTTGCTTAAGCGTTGAAATGACACGTCTTTGGAATTCAACATGGGGAGATGTAAATGGGGGAGGGGTGAAAAACTGGGAGGGAAAATGGCTTAAATTCTGCTCCCACAACCAATTCTTCCACCTGCTCACCCATTCCAGAAATCTCTCTTGATTTTTAACAAAGGTTGCTGAGTTAATTTACCTTATCCCAATTTAGCTCTCCTAGGTTTTTGTGTTAGTATAGAATGTAGCATTTATTTATGAACATACATTATCCATTCTTGTCTTGGCCATGCCTAGAGCTGCAATTCATTGATATAATTATTAACTTTTATTCCAACTCATTTTGGATTACTTGGAGCAGATATTAGTAATAATTTCCTAGAAGTTGGAGTGTTGGTAGAAGGGGAGCTGCATTGCTAAAATCATTTGTGCTTCACTTGCTACAGTCACTTGTCTTGAGTCAAACAGGGGTCTGTTGGGACGTCTGTCCTTCCCTTTGAGTCATCCACATATAACTGACTGTTGGCCATAATCTAACATCTTGATTCTATGACGGCTCATCTCTATGTATTAGATTGCTTTATTCATGCTTGACAAGGACCAGCATCTATCTGCTTCTTCCCCTATGAAATGCAATTTTATTATTAAAGCCGTTACTGTTACATGCCCTGGGCTCTGTTTAACAATTTTCTTTGCAGTGCAGCATGGATGAATTATAGCTGGTTTTGTCGACATCACAACCCACCAATGACTACTTTTCTTGTGATTAAACTTGACATGATGCTTTTGGACAGCAATCAGAGGTGGACATTGCTGTCATAGCAATCTCATCCCTCTTAAGTGCTCTGCTGAAAAACACGTGGTTCATTTACGTTGCCAGAAAAAGGCATGCACTTTGTAACATGGTGTTTCTGCAGGTGTTCCCATACCAAAATCTCCTTGGTATGAGAACTTTTCATTTGAGTCAGTATGGGGGACTGCAGGGCTGGACTGTCTCTTCAGAGGTGGGCTACGTTTCAGTGGCAGACTCATGCCTTGATTGTGGAAGGTACCAGGTTCAACCCCCAGCATTCCCAGGTAGGGTCAGAAAATTTGGGAGAATTGCTTTCAGCCAGGTGAGGCAGTACTGAGATGGCTGGCCAGTGTCCTGACACAACAGGAAGCACGTTCCTATTTCCCTGTCTTCCTTTTGTACAACTTTTGAGAAAAAAAAATGGGAGTACTTTTGTGGTGTCGGCTTGTACTCTCTGAGTGACTCTGGGTTCTAACTAGAGTACTCCATTCGTTTGCTTGGAACAAATGGAAAAAACACATTTAGATCCATTAGGTCTTATTTTCCTTTTTTCATTTTATGTTCCATAATGCGCAGGCCCCTTCTCTTTGAGCATTCACTGGACCGTCAATAAATGACAACAGCCTTTCTACCTGGCCTGCTATAAATGTGAAGGGAATATTTAGTCTTGCTGAGAGCGTCAAATATAGTAATAACTTAATATATATATTATTTGTTAGATATTATTGCATTTTAAAAGTTTGTACATGTTGAGATAGGGTAAAGGAAAGGCATTATTCATAAGAAATAAGATTTAAGATCAGTTACCCTAACATTCTTTTTGATGATCTCCATGTTCATCTGCATCCTTCCTTCAGACAACTCAACCCCTGACAGAGGGAAGATGACTTCTCCAATGATGTCATCCCGGGAAAACCGGTCAAAACTCAGGATCATAAAGTGAAGGCTCAGATCTTGAACTTGAGTATAAGGGATCCCATAAAAGGTGAAGGTTTCATCAAAAGCTGGGTCTAAAGTTTTCCTCATCACTCGAGTTTTCACCTTATGTTTCTTCTCAGGAAGTATTGTCATTTTGATGTATGGATCAGAAGTCATTGACTGTTCATCCATGGCTGGCAAGCCACGAGCTTCCTTGATGTTCACCATGAAAGCCTTCTTCTCAAAGTTGTACTCAATGGAGAAGAAGAGAGTCCCTAATTTATCTTGCTTCTCTTCAGAAGATATGGATGTCAGAGACTTCAAGCTATCAGGGGACACAGAATCTTTCTCCCTCTCCGGAAAAAGCTTTGGAGTAAAGTTCTCAACATCTGAAGAACATGTTATTTTAGGAGTTGTTTTGGGGAAGTTGCCATTCAGATCGCGCTTCTCCAGGTCGAGGTGGAGAGAACTCTTTGGCATGACAGGCTTGTTCTTGGCTTCCCCTTTGTCCTCCGCACCAAACTTCTTGCTGTTGAGGTTCTCAGGATAAATATCAACACCCTTCAGCACATGGACAAATTTGTAAGGAGGGGTCTTATTTGATTTGGAAGATTTGCGCTGGCAGCAGATCCAAGCAAAGAGGGAGACAGTGAAGACCAGCCCAAAGGCACTGAAGATTCCAACCACAGTTGGAATTTCATCTGCAAGTCAAAGCAAATGGCGACAAATGCATGAACGGTAGACTTCAGCGTTCACAAGTGATAGTTCAGATAACTTAGCAGGAACTGCCCAGTGGTGAAGCAGAGGGAATGAACTGTGGGATATACTATCCAAGAGGAAGTATATACATTTTGTGCCCCCTGCAGGAATTAACATGCATGGAAAACTCTGGCTGCGGGGTGTCTGTGCTGCACTCATGGCTGAGATAAACAGAGTTCAACAATCATGGCTAGAATAAAAGCATGCTTCTATTTAATTTTGCTGCTGCCCTAGATAAAATGTATGAATTCAGTAGACCTGTAAGCTCTTCCAGCTCCCTTTTATATCCTTCACATTAGACTTGTCATTCAGTTGATAAAAGAGAATTGGAAATATGTGTTATTTGCATGCATGGCATTCACTTTTAATATTAGACTTTGGATTTCCTTTCATGTTCAATGAGATACATATTTTTATGGTCCAACTGTAGGGGGTCTCGGGTTTGACATGACAATGTAAACTTTAATGGCAGATAAGAGAGCATTAGGAAAATGTTTCTCACAACCTGGCATCAGTTTTCTATGCAAATTCAAACATGGACATGCATTTAATTTTCCTTAAGTACTGAAACTACCTCATTGCTGGGCAAATACAAGACAGCTTTCAGAAGTATAAAGAGAGGTAAGTTCTGCAGCAGGATATTTCAATGGAACCTATTTTCCAACCAAGGCAACTAAATATGTTCCCCCTGAACTTCGTGATTCATATGAATAATGTTTGCATTCCAAATGGCAACAGGAAAAACAGTAGGCAAGCTGTAATGACATCTGGTGCATGGATAAAAGAGGGGCAATGAGGATGGCATTAGCATTTCATGAGTAAGCAGAGCAGGGCTAAATGAACACCACTAATTGGAAATCCAGTGCTGCCCATAACTAACATTTCTAAGTGAGTCTGAGCACTGTACACTAGGAGCAGCAATCAAGACGGAGCCTCCAAATTCTCCGAGCAAAATGGGGAAACTCATGAAATATTAATGCGATGACATTGCTTATGCAGAAAAGGTAACCGTGCCTTTTATACAAGTGTGGTGGCATTCTAGCAAACCTCTATCTCAATCCTCTTTCTGGGAGCGGGAGAGAGTTGGCCGCTCTCTTTCAAGGATCGTTGGGTCTGTTCTTCGGTCTGAGATGAAGAAGGATCTCTTGGACTAGTATAAGTGGGACTGTAATCTCTGATTTGAAAGACAGAGGTGAAACACAAGGGAGTTGCACATCCAGGCACTTGTTTAGCAAAGGGCTGGGTTGAATCCATGGAGAAATGAAGGGTCCCACACATTTCAGTTCAAAGGTTAAGCAGAACATTAGCTCTCGGTAGCTAATGTGGACTTTTATAGTAATCTAACTGAAGCATGTGGCAGCTTTTCTGTTCTGGCTGTCTGTTTTTTATTAGGATTGATTTCTAAGGAGGTTACTCTTTGCAGGTTATAGATATGTGAGAGTGTGCAGGAAATCTTTCACTGGGATAGAACACAGGTCATTGGGTCAGTTCCACCCCTTATGTGGCTACCGGCTCCACCTCTCTCTCTCTCTCTCTCTCTCTCTCTCTCTCTCTCTCTCTCTCCCCCGTATGTGTGTGTGTTGTAGAGAAGGGTGGGTTCAAGAAAAACATGTGGCTATGACTTGAGACAAAACCCACTGGCAGTGAGGTAATGGAAGTTGCATAAGATGCTTTGGGAAAGAGGCCAGGTTGGATCATTAACTCAGCTGAACAGATTTTAATGGCCAATTGACACATTTGCAAATACTCTTTTGAAGCTTGCACACAGACAGTTTTCAACTGCAGGAATGATGGTGCAGGTTGCAAACCCAGCCTCTGATCACAAGAATGCAGCAGTTAGATATTCATTATCCTCATAAAGTCAGTTATCAGGCAAGCAAGCTGCCACAAATGAACTGGCAAACACCCACGGGAGGGGGTAGAAGAAGAAATCATACGTAAATGTTCTGTACAAAAACTGCCATTGGGATTTCAATCTGCCTTTGTTGTTGCTTTCATACAACAAAGTGCTTGCTTGTACATTTCTGCAGCTATGCAGAAAGGGCATATGGTAGTTCTTAAGAGAGAGAGAGAGAAAGAATGAGAGAGAGATTAACTTGAGTTCAGGTTATACCTCAACTGTCAATTTGGAAGAACATAAGCCAGACTCATTGAAGGTAAACTCAATCCAAATTTAAACAGGTTCAGTTTCACTTAGGACCCAAAGTATTCCACTCCGCCACTATTTAAAACTCTAAACAGCCTCTTCCACAGGCCAAGGAAACTGTCATATGTGCATGAAAGCGAGTTTCTTCCCATTGTCTTTAATAGGACCAAAGACTATCCAAATCAAAGAGCTTTGAGGATAACAGCAGCAATGAAAGCAGTCACTAAGTGACCCACCCTTTTAAAGTAGCAATAAGGACCATTGTCATGCATGCGTCTACACAATTCTCTCCCAGTCTCTAACAGGACAAGCTTACTTACCTGAACTCTAAGCAGATCAGAAATATTGATAAAGGATGTTAATGATGCTAATGAGAATTGTCTGCCTCGGATATTACAAGACAACAGAGCTGCTTAACTTTCTTTATGGAATATGATACTTGGTTAAAAGCATCGGGGAACACTTTGCATACACTCTCTTGGCAACATAGCTGACAACGAGGGACACACAGGGGCAGAGAGGTAGAGTGGGTAGATACCTGGAAGAGTGGGAGGATGACTAATCGGTTTGATTAAAAAGCCATCTATTCCCCCCTCTGAGGAAGCTGTTATGAGTAATATTCTGAGAATATTTAGAATATTGATTAGAATAAGATACCCCTTCTGCTCTTGAGCCCTGCTGACTCCCAGACACAGTCCTCTTATTTCATTTGGGAACATTGGGAAGATGTAAAAGGAGCAATGTGAAAATAGATTAAACTACGAAGCAATGCACTATGAAACAAAACAAACAAGGACAACTACTATAAAAGCCATGCATCGTAGGAAGGATGCTTGAAAGGAGCCCTCAGATCAGAGAATGCTCAGCCCCTTGGCTTCCAGCACCAGCTTTTTCCCAAGGGCTTGCAACAGCCCCGTCATCTATTTGCCTTTCCAAAGCACCTGAGTGAAATTCACCAAGCCTCAAAATCAGGTTTTAAGAAAATGCTTACCAAATTCTTCTCTGCTGGCTGTAATTGGAGCCATGTTGTTTCCTGCGTGCTCTGTCCGAGGTGCTGAAAATTGTCGTCTTTTCCCTTCCGCTCAGCTGCTCACGGAGAAAAGACACACAGGCACAGACAAACAAGAGAGTCTTGTTTTCCAACGTGATGAAAACACAGGCATGAAAGATCGGGAAGGTTTTAGAAAGAGGAGGAGGTAGAGCGGAATCAGAGGAGGGAAGGGGAGGGGACGTCGGGATCAGTCCTCCCCCTCCTGCACAGTGATTCGTGAGCCCTTGTCTTGTAGTTCAGATCTTCTGACTAACTGAGCGCTGAGACTGAAGACGTGGTTGAAACCCAAATTGACGCAATCCTGACGCTACAGAACTGAAATCAGTATCTCCTCCCCCCCTTCTCCCCACTCTTGGGAATCCAGCAAACATTCATCAATTATTTTAACTGCTCCGCTGTAGGAGATTAGCTCACATTCTCAGCTGGACACAGATAGCAAAGGCAACGCTAATTCCTGGGGCCAAATCTTCCAGCAGTTTAAAACAAACAAGCTAACGTAATCCTAGCAGTAAAGAACAGTAACAGTAATAACATCCATGTTTGCTGTTAGCATGCATTAAGCAGAGATGATGAAAACTCTGGGGGCAAATGACCCAGATCTATGCCTCTCCTTCCTTCCTTAAGATGAATCACTTGTTTCAACTGACTTGCCAAATGGCTGGAGTTCCCACTGGGGATGGCAGGAAGTGGAACATCTGTATTTCTGGGAGTTACTGAACTGCCTGTTTTTTGTCTTCTAAACAGAACATGTCTTGGTTCTCTTAGATCTAGCCTCTGTGTGTCTGTGTGTGTGTGATATGCATATACACCTTTTATAATTCCTTTTTTAAAAGTTGCATTGTATTTGATTCAGTGCAAACACTGAATATATTACAATATTCTGATTCCCAAACACTCTCAGCACTGAGAACATATGGATTACCCACCATGACCAATCTTTGTTCTTATGTGGAATGGACAGATCAAGGAGCAGGGGCATTGAATTATTATTATTATTATTATTATTATTATTATTATTATTATTAACAAACACTAGTTATTGTTGGTTCTTTGTCAGTTTTCACTGACAAATAGACTCTCCTACATATCCATTTTTAAAGTGAATCAACTGAAGGAATGCTTCTGGAATAATATTCCATGAATAATACTTTCCACAATAATATTCCATGCACAATGTAAACACGCTTAATCTCAGTGAGATTAACTCCCAGCCATGCAGAAGCCTGGGGTGTGAAACATGCTGACATAGGAGCACTAGACCAACTGAAACTACTGGTCCACTGAACTGTTGCAAACTGCCCAGAGAGTTTTAGCTGTCAGGAATTATGGGAAATTGCCCAGGGTCTATAGGAATAGGGAAGTATGTAGCAATTAAAATTAAAAATAGAAATATAGAAACCAGTAATAAGTAAATAAGTCAGTACTGTGCGAACCAATTGGTAGGGACTTCCAAGGTTTCATGCATGAGTTTCTCCAATTCTTACTTTGAGGAGTGGGCAAGTGGGTGACTTCCAGATGTTTGGCTCCACGACTTCCATCGTTTGCTATCAGTTATCTGAAGAGTGATGAGGGTGGTTGTACAAAGTATGTGGAGGGCTACAATTTTCCCACCCCTGTCCTAAACCTAGAAACTTGTGCTGAACTGCTAGAAGTAATGGAAGCCCAACAGTTTGGAGCTGGTTGTGCTTAGTGACATGGGGGCAGGAATACATTCTTCATAGACCTTTTCATTTAATCAATATTTTAATATGTTTTAATATTGAATTTTATTGTTGTATTTTTTTAATTTGCAGCCAGTGTAGATGGTCAATTTATTTATGTTGCAAGCCATTCAGAGATGCAAGTAATTAGATGGCATACAAATTTTATAAATAAATACATGACCATTCCTTCTAGTAATATTCTGGCATTTTAGTTGCAATGAAGTCCTGAACAGAATTAGCATAAGAGCTGTGTTAGCACCCTGTTGCAAATTATTTTAAATCCTTGGTATATATCAGTTCAGGGCCCAGTCTTTATGTGAAAATAGACACTTTTGACTCCACAATCCCGTTGGCCCAGGCAGGGTAGCAATGGGACATTCGTTATTAAAGGTTCATTATTAAAACTACTGGTAAATTTCAACAATCATTCTTCAACAGTAGCATGAAGAGAGACCAGCTGCTGATGGTGCAACGGCTACCTCTTCTTTGCTGATTCTCTTGGATCATTCCTTGTAGAAATGTCGCCACCCAGGAGAGACAATTCAAATGGAGCGTTTCAGGCATGATTTCCCCTTCTCTGTGGCTGATGCCAAACTGAAGAACTCTGTCCCACGTAGGCTAGGCTCGGCTGGTCCCTTCTCTTCTGGCACTTTGCAACACTCTTTCTATTTAGAGAGGCTTTCCTTTTACCAGTTTCAAACCTATCAGTAGTAGCATTAGGTGGGACTTTGTCACCCCAGGCAAAAGACATCTCGGGCAAGGCAAATGCTGCATATGAAAGGCCTTTGTTTGTCTGACTGTATTCAGCTCAAGCATCCAGGGGGTTTCAGTTAGCAGAATGCTGGACATCAGGTTACAGCAAAGCTTAACAATAGCTTTAACAATAGCATCACCCTAACAGTGATGGCTGGAGACCTGCTTGGCTTAAAAAATTGGAATCAGTCTCAAAATACTCCCCCTTGATAGATTTAAATTGTTTGCTGGAATTTGTATCTCCAGTTCTTGCCTTTTAAAAAAAGGTGAAAACGACCAGTGGTTCGCCTCCTTTTGTGCCTTTCTTTGGGGTAAAAAAATACCCCACAGAACTATTGCCATGCACATTCTAGGGCATTTTGTTCCCTAGGCATGTTTTGGTTCACAGAAAGAAAAGTTAATATAAGAAAAGTTTGGTTTCTAGGAATAGCTGGTGGCTGCTTTTTGTGACCGGGGGGTGTTAGGCAGGAACTATATCAGTTTCCAGCCTACCATCAGTTGGGTCAGGCATAACTTTGCTACCTCAGATCCCGCCCCCTGCAAAATGCAAAATGTTGCCAGGCTGGGGTGTGGTCCCCCCCTCAGTCCCGGTGGTGACTGTTTGCCCATTCAGCATGGCGTGCTTTTCCAGACATTGGAGAGCTGTGCTTCTAGCACACTGCAGCTCTTCAGTCGCATGTATCAACTTTATGCCACTGCTTCGCTTTTTGCATTTTGCGTTTTGCATTGCCCTCAGTCTGATAGAAGCCAATTTCGTCCACACAGATGGAAGCTTCTGGGAACGATGCAGGGAAAATAAATAAATCTGAGTCATTGTTAACCTAAGTAAAACTCTTTACTCCAAAATGGCTGATTTCAACTCACCTAGAGTTGAAATTTGCCAGGCTATACACGGAGCAGCCCACACGACGACAACCAGCTTTCCCTGTGGATATTGCTCCATATCAGCTATATACAAAAGTGGCCACCCAAAGTGACTGCAGGATCATGTGAATGCAGAGCACACTGGAGATACCCTCATGTTCCTGGAACAGGCATTGTCTGGACTGCTCCCACTGAATCTCTCCTCCCCCTCATCCACTCAGTCATCCGGTTTTGTTAATGCATCCCCTTCTCCGTTCCATCTGCCTGGTCCCTCCCTGCCCTACTGACACCTGAAAGTCATGCTTTCCATATTGGTGAGCTCATGGGACATAATTACATTTAGTTTTGGGCTCCCAGCCAGACAATGCACAGTTAGCTAGCAGCTCCCCATGATCAGAATTATAGTTAAGAAGCAAAACAAAACAAAAAGTCAGGTTAAACAAAGGCAGGATGGTAAATGATTATTTAGCTACCACTGTAGCCAAATGTTAACACAACAAAACCAGCACATCAATATGTAATATGTTCAGCGATTTGCATTGAGCCTTATTGATCTGTCCATCTAGAGAACATCAGCTTTATGTTACTGGCACACTGTGAGAGGAATAATATAGATGCTCCTCCTGACCCATTGATGCATTCACTATACTTTGCAGCTGGGGAGATCAGGCAGAGCATCTCCTGTGCCCCTCTGAATCGTGGAGCAGGAGGGAGCTGTCAATTAGTGACTACCAAAGGTGTTCTCCCAGTTAGGTTTCTTGGAAAAGAGGGGAGAGCCCTGCAGGAATTTCAAAGGGAAACAGTCTAGCAAATGCCTTGATGTCAGACCAGTTGGGTGTCTCTTGAATTAGAATCAGAATGGAGAAATTCAAATGCGAGGGAAGGTTGCACTGGGAGCAAACTAGAGGAAGGTAAAGCAAGGTTGTGGTCCAGAGGATGCGGTTTTCCTATCTGGATCAAACTAGACGTCTGTAAAGGCTGCAGTTCTCTAGTTGCTAACCTGGAAGCAAGTTGCAAGGGATTCAATGGCATGCATGCCAAAGCACGTGCCAGATCCTCTCGTAAGTCAGCCCAGGCCCACAGTGCAGAAAAAATGGGACAACGAAGGCCCTGAGACAGGTTCTGCCTCTGTACTGGGACCAGTGTTATGGGTCTTAGTTATTATAAGAACCCTCATGAACTAACTGTATGTTGAATGAATAGCTCCGTCATTTTGCCAGTCCTCAGTGTGCCAGTCATTAGATGACACGGTGTTCAAGACTCAACCCACCCTTTAAAAATACAAATAATGCCTTTAGTCACTCCCTGCAGGCCATTCGTGTCCCTAATTATAATAATAATGCAGATCATTTACATATCACTATAAAGACACATTGTGCTGTGCCATTTGATATCATGTTTAAGAGCACATATGAAGTACATCTTAAATGATTTCTCATATCTGTGTGTGTGTTCAATTGTTAAATATATTCCATTGTTTTAAAACAGTCCTTTAAGGCTATCTCTAGCAAACCCGTAAAATGAGCACCTAACACTTATGCTTTAACAGTTTTGTGCTGTGATAAATAATAGCATAGGTTTAAAGCATGGAACGGGGACTCAAATGATCTGGGTTCTAGTCCCCACTCAGCCATGGACTCTCAGCCCAACCTACCTCACAGGGCTGGTGTTGTGGAGATAAGTTCTGGGGAAAAGTGAAGCCTGCCACTCCACCAGGCAAAGATCAGATCAGCTAGATTTCAGCTTTTAAAAGAGTAGATATCCACCCCTTGCTGGAGAAGACTCCTGCGAGTCCCTTGGACTGCGAGGCGATCAAACTGGTCAGTCCTAGAGGAGATCAACCCTGACTGCTCTTTAGAAAGCCAGATACTGAAGTTGAAACTCAAATTCTTTGGCCACCTA